CCCTTATTTAAGCATTCACTCTGTCCTCATCTATACCCACGTTCTCTCTTCTCAATCGGTCGGTCACGTATTCTAAACAGTCAGGCGCATTCATAAACTTTCATAAACATTCATTGCAATCGATCCTCTTGCACGCGGTCTCTTTCGTTCTAAGCCCAAACACACTTATCATTCTTCCAGGACCGTACTTATTCCAATCCCACATTTATATATTTTAATAAAACACTCATATCTTAACCATTTTTTTCTCAAATTGGTAATAAATCTTTCCAAACTTTCCCGAACTTCGGTTATTAAAACCAAAATAGAATACAGCCATTTGGATAATTCCTGGATAATTTGGATAAACTCTATTACGTCATCATATATTATAAACGATCTGTTTTCAGAGTATAGTATATGAAATCATTATCTGACTGCTTGTTATTTTCGCTCTTCATAAATTTGTTTTTAGTTTACTCGATAACTTTTTCCTTATGTTGTTAGCATTCTCGAACTATTCCATAGCATCATTTAAGTATACTTTTGTTTTCGATCATCGTCAATATTATTGAGATAATCAAACGTCTGAATAACGGAAGATTGGTTAATCGATATCTTATTGTACTCAAATTATGAGCACATCAAAAGAAAAATGTTAGAAAAATGTAATCACGATAGTCTAAAGGCATGTACTATATACAGATATACATGAAACTATTCGAATATTTACATTTGCAAATTTTAGTTCTTTAGAATTCTAATTTTGTTTGATTATGTTTAAAAATATTAGAACCAACTATAGCTTTTCGATTATTAAAATTTGTATTTAAAAATAAATAATAAAATTAAAAAGATTATTAATAAATAATACCAAAGAAATTAAATAAATAACAATAAAATCAGTAATTGTAAAAATAAATTGGTCGTTTTTAATATCATATGTCAAACAAATCTAATAATTGAATGACGAGTAAATAAAATAATATTTAAGAAATACACTTATATAGTTAATAACTTCCAAGTTACAATTCATTTACAGTTAACTTATTAATTGTAACGCATTTGCACTTCATAAATCACAAATTTACATCACTGAAGAATTACAAAACCATTTACATATAGGGTATTATATTATTCGAAAGCACCATTAATTACAAAATAACAAATTTCATCATAATGTAGATTCTTCTTTTTCTTTTATTAACGAAAAAATACAAAATTTTAGTATGATGTTGACCAATATTTTATTGTTAAGACAAAAAGAGCAGAGAAAAAGAAACAATGTACGAGGAAAGTGGATTATGCGAATAAAGTAAAAGACATTTCAGATAGTTACCGAAATAAATGTGCATAGCTATTGCAAAGGACTGAACGGTAAAACCGAATTGCAGTTTCGGGAATATTTGAGTGTAACAAAAAGTTTCATACTTTTTAAATTTTTCAAAAATGAATACTTGCAAATACTGCATCACAAAATACTTACATTATTTTAAGAAGAGAAAGCATTTAAAATATATTTTCAAAATCAATTTTATTTACTCACATTTTTCATATATATTACTCGCTATAGAAAGGTGTAATTCATTAGTAATTCACAAGAACTCTAGGTAGGTCTATGTATTTTTCTGCTGGATAATATAAATGGTGGGAGTTTCTGATTTTGAAGTGTAAGAGTTGGAAGTGCAATCAGTTTCTGGGAAAGCCAAATGAATTATTGCCCTACAGGCCAGGTACTAAGTGCATGTGGTGGCCAAACATCAATGTCCCATCGCGCTTTACCTGGGTACGGGATCGGCAATACGGTAGTTTTCGTGCAAGTATAATTATGCCGATGAAACGGTACTTCGCGATTTAACACGCCACCCGTTTTGATCGTCTACATTCAATTACAGTAAGTCTACGAAAATTTAAATATAATGACAAGGGTATAAACTAGCGAGAAATTCTTACAAAGGAGCTTACAGCTACACTTATATTGTACCGTCGCATAAAACTAAGAATAGGCGAGAATTTTTATAATCTAAATGTGTATACATGCGTAATGTAAACTTATACATAGGTATCTTTCATGGCGAAAGTCTATTAATACCACGCTTCTAAAACTGTTTTGGGTTCCTACTGTAATAACCCGCACAATGCCATTTTCACCTGGATAGACCTTGACGACTCGTCCGAGCTGCCAATGATGAGAACTATTATCTTCCCTAATAACCACGAGTTATTAGCGCAGTGTGTCTTTAATTGGCTTCTGGTATGTAGTCCCTGCAAAAATTCTTTTTGCCACAGAGCAGAAATGACACTTAACCTTCTGTATATATTGCCAGAGAGACAACTTGTTATCCAACATCGATCGTGTATCGATAAATCTGTGGTCAGATAGGTTTGTCAACGAATCACCTATTAGGAAAGAACCGAGTGTAATGGCGAGGAGGTCATCGGGATAAGAGGATAAAGGTATCGGAGAGCGAAAATAATAGCTTCAATCTCAACTACCAATACATAAAATTACTCATATATAACATACTTAAGAAAATTTAAGAAAAAATAGAAAAACTCAACTGCAATATACAGCACGCGTGTTGTCACCATCTTACAAAAACTCAAAGCAATGAATTCCGATAGCAAGGAGCAGAAGAAGTTAATTACAAAATCTAATGCTTTATGTGTGAAATCAAAGTATTAACCTTCGCTATTAGCAAGCGTTAAAATAATTACCAAATTAGTGACGGTTTCATCCTTTAACCCTAGAGATTCACTTAATATTAGCATACCCGCCTATCATGGTATATGCTTTGAATTATTGTATTATAAAGCTGAAAAGTATAGGCAATTGTTCTATTTAGCACATTTATGTATGAGTACCAACGAAGTAAGTCTATATTTGGTAGACTATATAAAACTACACGCTTTCTTTTTGTTAACCCTTTGCACTCGAAAGATGAGCCTAAGTGACCATTTAATCAAATTCCGAAGATCCATGTTAATTAACATATCAAATCAAAAATAACCTAAGATTGCATGGAATGTCGAAATAAAATAATTTTAAGTCTTAATTTATATCTGATTCCTTATTTACCGTTTCAAAAATATCCTCGATGTTACAGCAAAAAGTCCCTGTGACGAAAATAATCACCGAGTGCAAAGGGTTAATACCTTTACCGTCCATCGGCCAATATTCATGCCTGACCGTGTGCAAAATAGCCCGCATACCTGCCTGACAATCTTGGCCTTAATGATTATAGGACCGAATAATCCGAGTGGGTCAAATAACTGAGCTGTTTGAGATAAGATTAGTCCCTTTGAAACACGACTACAATTTGTAAACTGACTAATTGCATAAGCAGTTTCCAAGAACTGACTAACATTTTCTTTCTTTCCAACGGATCGACACATAGTGAGCTTTGTTGAGTATATGTAAGTTAACTGTAAGCCTGGGATCGTTTGAAGACTCTTGCCGCAAGTGAATTCATTGTTCTGCCAGGGCAATGAAATGATTCCTAAGTACTAATGTCACTTGACACAACGTTTCGTTTCAGCAAGCCCTATTGTCGAGGGTTGTCACTGGACACAGCGTTTAAGATAGAGCTGCGGTGTAGCATATTCCGAATAGGCCATGCCGATTGCAAGCAAGAGCTTAGTTTTAGTAGTTTCAAACCCATCGTGGAGTACAGTAAGAATTTGTAGTGCAGGTAAAAAGTATTTTCCAAGTCGAAATTGCCATAAGAGAATTTTTTTTTCAAAAGATTAGGGCTAGACAGGAAAGACGACGTAGAACGGGGCGTGACAATTTGAAAGTAGTGACAGTGATCGTCACGAGGTCATAGAAAGACAATTTCAAAAAATATGTACACTTGAAGTGGAAAGTAATGAAGAATCGGAAGACATAATTACAGTGAATCGAAGCAGATATACAAATAGAAAACCGGGATTGCATGTCGGAGAATGTTTTAAATGCTATCATACCATGGTAAATTATAAGTGTACACTTGAAGTGGAAAGTAATGAAGAATCGGAAGACATAATTACAGTGAATCGAAGCAATAGAAAACCGGGATTGCATGTCGGAGAATGTTTTAAATGCTATCATACCATGGTAAATTATAAGCAGTGAGCAATAAAAAATAATATTTACAAAATCCTGAACTTTTATTTCATACATCCACTCATTGATAAGTATGTTGCGTTAATAAGCTCAAAAATGTTTTCCAAAGTAAACGGTATTAACAAGGAGAGTGCAAGTCCTTCGAGTCACCGATTTAATTGAAACTTTGTAGGTTTGTAGATTTCGTCATGCAATTCAAGAATATATATCATTATAGCCGCCACTACTCGATAGTTTTTGAGATATTTACTAGATATTAACATTTTGACCCACGGTGGTCATTGGTGACCGAAGCGCTTGAACTACTTAAACTACATTGAGCAACATTGAATGAAAATGGACAATTAGTACATTTTGAATATAACCACTAATTAGAAGATACTTTGAAATAAAAAGTGCCCCATTGAACAATTAAAAATGAGAACGTACCAGAATAAAACAATTATGTGAGAATCGTCAAAGAGGAAATATGGGTATGTAACGGTTAATAATAGTGAGAAAGAGAGAGAGAGAGAGAGAGAGAATTTTCTAGAAAGGGTCAATCAATTTTTTGTTTAAAATAATTTATTGCGTTTCATTATTTTGTGGTAATGGTTACATAGATTTAAATACATATGTATTGGAATGAGTGGAACATGTATGCATGGGATGGAAATATCTAATGAATTCAGGACAACCTTTATAATTAAATAAATAATTGTTCTTATTGTTATTAAATTTCACCTACCACTAACATATTTAAATATTGTTATCTAAATATACCAATGTGTTAATTGTTAAAAAACGTAGAAGATATTGGTGTGCATTTCTATCCGCAACATATACCTTCCTTAAGAAATAAAAGGTTTCAACAAAGAATATTTATATATCGTACTTATTTTACTATTAGAACCCATAATCTCAATAGGAATATCCACTAAAAATGAAGAAGCGTGTGATGCCTTTTTTCGCATTTACGACAGTTCCATGATCTACAATTACTGACTAAGTGATTTGATCCAAGACAGTTAACACAGAGTTTTAATCTCTTTGCCGTGTTGAAACGATCATTAGCCGATGATTGTAGAAATCTTGGACACGTATAGATAGAATGTTCCTCTTCACAAACGATACACTGTTGCTGAGTCTGTGTCGAAACAGATTGATCGCGATTTTGAGTTTTTCCTTGTGAACGATTATCCGAGGTATTCGATTTGAGCGAATCGGGCAATTTTTGCTCGAGCTCATATTCACGTATTTGCTTCTTGATACATGCGACTAGTTGATTGAATGTAGGAATTTCGTCATCCTCTAATGATCTCTCCCACGCACGTCGCGTTTTCTCATCTAACTTTTTTACAAGGATATGAATTAATATTGTATCCCAATGTTCCGTGGGTTGTTCTAAAACCTTTAATTTGCCCACATGAATTTGTACTTGTCGTATCAAATGTCTGAGTTTCGAAGGACTATCGCACGTAACGACCGGAAGTTCTAACAAATGTTGTAAATGCGCGTCGATGAGCAGTCTGGGTCTATAGCACTGCTTTTTCAACAAATCCCATGCAACTAAATAATTTTCTTCCGTCGCGTTCAACGATGCGATTACCGCCGCTGCGTCACCACAAACAAAATTTTTTAATAGAAGCAATTTTTGCACGCCGGATAGATTCTCGCAATCCTGTACGAGTGACATGAAGATGCAGCGAAAATCATGCCACTGAAATGGATTGCCATCAAAGGGTTCTAATTTAATTCCCAAAAGAGCTTGGAACGTGTTACTAGATGAATCCGTAGGTTTAACATCAGATGCAGGTCTGGCAGGTTTGTAAAGCTCTTTTAAACGATCAGTAATTAAATTTGCGGCTAAATAATATTCGTTTTCGAACTTTTCGCGTTCCGAAGAATGATCGGTTTCTTCATTCGTTTCTCCTAATTCCAGCACTGTCTGAGTCTCCGAAAAATAATCGTACAACTGTTCTAGCCTCTTTTGACGAATTTCTAATGAAATAATAGAAGCGTCTGGAGTGTCGTTCAAATATGTTAGGATTCGCGTTACTTGAGTCTTAAGAATGGCTCGTTTCTGTATCAGTTGTTTCATATGCGTTGATATTTGAGTTGAAGTCATTTTCGTTGATGTTATGGTGATTTGCAAAATGGAAAGACAGATAGGAAAATGATTCGTTTGACGCACCAACGTAATGACGCAACAAAACGTCCGTAGGATGATGGTGAATTTCAAGCAGACTTCTGTTCTTGATACAGCTTCGAGGATGTCTTTAAGTGAAGAAATCACAGGAAGGCTCCGACGATAATGCAGGAAAAAGTCTCCAACTCTGGTTGAATCCAAATGTCCAATCGGGAACGTTGTGGTCCTGGCAGTCGGCTTGGTATGTCTTCTCTGGATCAAGCCTCTCTTGTAGTTGAAGTATGTTGTCTGATGTTGTCTCCCGAATAGAGTACAAGTGTCACAACGTTGCAATGACGCTGATAAATATTTCTCAAGAATCCGGCTCGAAGGTCCAGAAATGTATCACGTCACTCTGTTGATCTTGTTTTACGGTCTTACTACTGGAGGGTGAATTCAAAGAGAAAATTTGTGGTTCTTCGAGTGTGTAGTCGGCTGTATTTTGAGTGGTGTTAACCCTCGCGATACGGTAACGGGGTCTTTAGAGACCCTACTATTTTCTGACCGTGACGAAGCTGCGCGTGTTAATGACGTAGCGAAAGAGACAACGCTGAATAACTAACTGCGTGGAACCAACGTTCTGATGTTGAAGAAGCGTTATAGTCTTCGAGAGCAAATTTGCTTCTATGTGTGCTCTATGAGAGGTAACTCGATACTACGTGTTCTCTACAAGCTTTGACTTCTTACGACGTCTCGTCCGTCTTATATTCCTTGTAAGAATGCTACAAAGGCTAAAATAGGAACCCTTGGTAGGGCTAACTATTTTTCCATTGGTTGTTATAAATTGTGGGAGTTTCCGATTTTAAAGTGTAAGAATTGGAAGTGCAAATAGTTTCTTGGAAAGAGAAATGAATTACTGTCCCATACACCAGGTACTTAGTGTTGCGGCCCTAGGACCGCAATGTCCCAGGTCAAGTGGAGGACTGTTTTATGTCCTTATTGTCAGCGTCCCTTGATTTCTATACACTCATTGTCACCTAAGCCACCACTTGGGTAAACCGTGACAAGGACCGATATATTACCCTTTAACACATTGCTGACCGGCAACTTTTCTGAAAATTTACCTCATGCGCCCGGCTCTCGTTTTGAAAGCGGATGTGGAAGTAAAACAATATAAATAAACTTTAATAAATTTTATTTATTATTCAACTCCTAATATTTCTTTTTCGTATGATAAAAAGTATAACAATCACCTACGTGTAATGGTACACCACAAGTTTTGCAAATATATCGGGTTTCGCTCCGTTTTCTTTTCGAAGAACATACTCTACACGCTCTAGTCGGATTTGTTTTTCTGGTAGTAACTATTTTAACAGACGACAGGCATAAGGACCTAGACTGTTTAAACAACCACTACCACCGAAAGACGCTGAAGCTAGCACACATCCCCAATATTATACCAACCAATCAGCAGACAGACGAACCTTATAAAACCACCGACAAGACATTCACAAAAAGATTCTTCCTAAAACTCCATCACGAGCACACCATTATCATCGAGACCCACCAACAACTCAGCGCAGGAGACTGTCTACTATAGAAATCTCTGCAGTTCAACAATAACCAGGTCTACCTCTATCAAGTTAGAGTAGGCCGCATCCCAGCAACATTGCCGCAGCAGCGTAAGGGGCCTTACAACCCCGCGAAACTCCCCGAGCGAGTTGCAGTGTTCGGGACGCAATACTTAGGGTATATGGTCATCAAAGGTCAATGTTCCATCGTGCTTTACCTGGGGTACAGGGTTGACAATATAGTATTCTTCCTGGAGGAATAATTATACCGACGAAACGGTACTTCACGATTTAACACGTTCCCTGCCGCGTGGGGTGTATGCGCCCCACGCTGAACTTTCCGTTCAAGCCATTTGGTATTATCATTGTAAAATGAAGAATTTTTTAAAAATTTATTATGCAGTCAATTATGGGCATCTTAATACTATTGCTGATGCGTTCATCTGATCGTGGGACATATACGCCCCACGCGGCGTGGTGGTCAGTTTCTTTACCGCAACTTGTTTTAACTGCAAAATTTGTTACGAAAAAAATGTTAAAAATTTAGGTTCACAATCGGCAAGAAACTGCACTGTAAAAATTGCAACATTCTGCGATAGTTGTGTGGATAAACCACACTTATGTTTGCCATGTTTTAACAAAGTTCACCGTAACGTCCCTTTGTAATTGTATACACACTTGATTTCAATTAAAATGTTTTATTTTAAACTAATATAGGCATGATAAAAAAAATTATATGCGAGGATGCAACTCGCTTGGTAATGTTCAGCCAAGTATTTGTTAAACTAATTCCTAGAAAAATAAATTTATTGGTTTGTTGTGTTGTGCATCTTAAACTACACACCCTTTCCTTGATAATTATGATTTTTGCACTATTTTAATCATTGTAAGGCATACGCCAGAAACAAAACAATACAACTGTAAAGCGTGGGGCGCATACGTTTTGGTCTGGCAGGGAACGTGTTAACAAATGAATTTTATACAAAATTTTATTTAATTTTGAATGATTTATTTTATTTTTGGAACAAGTATTCTAATTTTTCAATTTTTATTTGACTTTTTATTTAGTATTTGGTACTGCATATTCGTGTTTGCTGTGCATAAAAGTATTCGAACACATGAAAACATTCCAAAGTAATATTGAACAGAATAAACGATTTAAATTGAAATTTCGGAACATATGCGTAAAATTACAGGTTTATTTGGAAACGTACACAGAATTGGTATATACATATGACATTGGATATGAAAACACGATTTACCGAGGTTGCGAGAATACTCGAGCATTGAAATTATTTTTATATCGTTTCATATAGATATGAAACCTCCTTTGGGATTACCTGAATCCACAATTTTATACCGATTATAGACATAAATGAATATTTTCTTGAATTGCATAAACGTTATATTTATCGCATGTTTAACCAGCTATTGATTTTACATATATTTTTCAGATCTGTTCTTAATTTCTTGCACATAGCTTATAATGCTTGCATTTTATTACAGTTAAAATATTATTTTGAAACTACGTGGTTTATTAGTTAGTAATCTGGATTGCAAGTATTTAAATGTTTTCACGAGCATATTGCATATTTATATTCGCGTTATATGAATAACTCGGTGGGGGGTTATTTGTTCGCTAACGAAAGGAGCACGAATAAATAGGCGTAACTTCTTGATAGTTGGCATTGATGGTGCTGTAGACAATTTCCTTCTTTATTGCCGGTATTTCAGACGAATAATAAAATTTCTGTATGTAAGCACTTTTCGTGCTTATCGTTGCATTCACATTGACCTGGTTGCCCTGTTCCGAGTAATGGACTAACATAATTTTACTCTGCTGTTCCAATTTAAAACGGCTTTACTTTCTTTTGACGTTCAAATAATATCGAGAAAAATATCCTCTCAAGTCCTAGCGTTAATACAAGAATTATCGATCCGCAATGTATATACATTTAAATATAGTATGTAGTAATAATACTTAAAGTACAGTGATAAAAATAAATGGATATATATAATTATGTTTCTACGTCAATAAAAATTACTTTTCAAATGTAAATACGTATTTATAATAACTACAAGAACAAAACGTCTGTATCCAGTATGTATTTCGATAATTTTAGTGCTTAAGTATGTGTTGCGACGGCAATAACGAAGACTAGACGTGCCTTACCGTCCTTTTATCGGATTAACCGTTTGAGTCTCAGAGGGTTTTAAAAATACACTGTCCAAGAATCCCAAGCAGCGCGACCGCGCTGTCTCTAAGTGAATACGGAGTGACCCAAGCGGCGCGATAGCGCTTCGTTTATATTATAGCGATAAATGCCAAATGACGCGATAACGCTTCGACTTCGACAGTCGCTGACGCACCGTGACCTGTCGAAAACGCTCGAAATGTGCTGGGTTTTCTCGACATGAAATCTGAACAGCGCGATCGCGCTGCTTGGGACAAAACGGTTAAGGATTATAATTTACACAAAAGACCAGACGTGTGACGTTAAATAGACATCTATTCTTAAACCACGATATAGACAATCAAAATAATATCGAAAGGAAATTTCCTTCATAGTTTCCTAAACCAAAGGTCCTTTCAGAGCACCCACGTCCAATCAAAAACTCTATGTGTCCTCCATCAATAGCCACTCTAAACCAATCAAAATAAACGTGAGGAGACACCAGACAGAACACAAGACAAGACAAACGTTAGTCAGAATTTGAAGACACCACACTAAACGTATACTAAAACTCGTTCAAAGTACATCAAGAAACGTAGACTAGAACTTAGTCAGAACACATTGGAAAACGTTAGTTAGAACTCGAATACACCACACCAGACGTACACTAGAACTCATTTAAGATACATTGGAAGACATAAACTAAAACTCCTTCAGAACACATTGGAAGATGTAAAACGGAAGGCGAAGACAACATACCAGAAGACATAGAAGCAAACTAAACTCAGACAGCACTCAATCAAAACGCATATACATCACATTCAAAATCGAAACTACGATGTAATAAAGTGTATACAAAAGGAAACTGCACTTTATTACACAACCCGAGTGCTCAATATCTGAGAGAAGGCATCCACCACGACAAACCTCGGCTGCCTTCGTGCAACAGTATGCATAGACGATGTAATAAAGTGTATACAAAAGGAAACTGCACTTTATTACACAACCCGAGTGCTGAATATCTGAGAGAAGGCATCCACCACGACAAACCTCGGCTGCCTTCGTGCAACAGTATGCATAGATATACTGTACATACTACAGACCAAGAAGAATGGATGAAACGTGAAACTGATTTTTAATTAAAATTTGATATCAAATACCAGGTGAGTCGTAATAATGTTCCAACGTTCATTTCGTATTAATTATTACCAAACGTACATAGAAAATTAAGTAAAAGAATAAATATCATTATATA